TTGACTCTATACACCCATTTGTTCTGCAATGCCTTCTTTCTTTTAGTAACTCTTTAAGTATCCATGTTTTTTCTTTTGAAGAGAATTCATCTCTTCTTTCATGGCTGGCTTCCACTTATTAGAGTTTATCACCTGCATTGCTTCAACAAAATGCTCTAGTTCTCCAGTATCAGTTAAAACTATATAGTAGAGAGAGAGTGAACCTATCTGGAGCATTCTCGACTCTTTTAGATCTCCTTAATGTAGGTTCAAGAGTAACTGATCTCGAATTTGATTCAAGTCCTGACTCCATATTTGGTTCTGCATCTGATTCTATCTCTGGTTCGGTTCTGGTTCTGATCCAGATCGGCTTCCGGTTCTTCATCTTCAATTTCAGAATCAGTTGTAATCCCTCTAGCCACTTTATTTTCTGAGATTTCTTCTAACTCAACTATTGCAAACGTCTGTTTGCTGGTGCTGGTTGGTTCTATTTCAAGCTTGTCCTTGTACATCACATTTTCATTAAATGTGACATTCCTATGTCTTAGGATATTTCTATGTTGATCATCCCAAAATTGATAACCAAAATTATCATCATCATAGCCAATAAAGAAACATTTGTTGATTTTAGGATCAAGATTATCTCTATCCTTAGAGTTCACATGCACATAAGCAACACAACCAAAAAATTTCAGATGTGAGAGAGTTACCTCCTTTCTTGTCCATACCTCCTCAAGAAATTTCAAAATTCAGCGGTACAGAGGGTCCCATGTTTATGAGTTAAGCTCCCGTGTTAACAGCCTCGGCCCAAAAATACTTCGGCAATCCAGAATGTATTCTCATACTTCTGGATCGTTCATTTAGGGTGCAGTTCATCCTCTCAGCACCGCCATTTTGTTCCGGTGTTCCAGGAATTGTCTTGATCATTCTGATCCCATTCTCATAGCAGAATGCTTTAAACTCTTGGCTATCATACTCTCCTCCATTGTCAGACTTCAGACATTTTAATTTTAGGTTTGTCTGATTTTCAACTTCAGCTTTCCATCTTTTAAAGGTAACAAAAATATCAGATTTATTTTTCAGAAAATAAACTTATACCTTTCTCGTGGAATCATCAATGAAGGTGACATAATAGCGTGAGCCTCCTAGAAAAGTTACAGGAGCTGGTCCCCACACATTTGTATGCACTAGTTCCAGCTTCTCTTTCTTTGGCGTCCTTCCCGCCTTTGAGAAACTAACTCTCTTTTATTCCCGTAAATGCAATCTTCGCACAAACCTAATTCAACATGCTTTAGGTTTGGCAACTTTTCTTTGGATGCCAACAACTTCATTCCCTTCTCACTCATATGCCTGAGCCTCCGTGCCACAATGTTGTATCACGACCATGATCAATTGTTGCTATAGTATCTCTCTGTATTGCAGTTGCATACAATGTTGCCTTCTTGAAGCCTTGTGCCACAATTAAATTTCCTTTTGTTATCTTCCACGATCCATTATCGAATGTTGTTGTATATCATTCACTGCCAATCTGACCCATAGATATCGGATTTTCTTGAGGCCAGGAACATGTCGAACGTTTTGCAATTTTCATAGCGTGCCTTGTGAAGTATTTATATGAACTTCACCTTTCCCGACAATTCCAAAGGTTCGCCATCTGCTAAATAAACCTTCCCGTATTTTCTACCAATATAATTATGGAATAATTATTTGTATGATATAGAGTGAAAGGATGCACTTGAGTCCAGAATCTAAGATTCGACTGGACTGTCTGCACAACAAATTAGTGCATCACCGACTTGTTCATCAATTATATTTTTTGAATTTTCTTCCTTCTTCTTCTTTGGTTCTCTACATTGACTACTATAGTGCCGTTTTTTATCACAGTTCCAACAAGTAATGTCCTTGCAACTTTTGGATTGCCCTATTCTCCTTGACTTTGATCTGCCACAACCATGCCTTTGTCCTCTTTGATTGCTTCTCCCCCTGTTTTCGGTATTAAAAGAAGATCCTGGGGAATCACTTGATTCTCTTTGGGGAGTATCTTCGCTTAGAACCAAGTCTCTAATATCATTCAATTTGAGTTTGGTATTTCCCTATGAGCTTCTGACTGCAGTTACCATTGCAGACCAACTCCCCGTAGAGATGATAGTAGAATCAATGCCTGACTTCATCATCAAATGTTATATTAACAGAACTCAACTGAGTTAATATTATATTAAACTCATTGATATGTTGTGCCAGATCCATCTTCCATCATCTTTAAGTTGAACAATTGATGCATCAAATAGACTTTATTTGAAGCAAATGGCTTCTCGTACATATTTGATAACACCTCCATCATGCCTGCAATGGTCTTCTCGTTAATTATGTTAAACGTCACATTTCGTGTTAGCGTTAAACGAATCATACCAAGAGTTTGGCGATCTAATAAATCTCAATCCGCTTTGGCCATATTCTCTGGCTTTACCTCGGTCAGAGGTAAGTATAATTTTTTCTAGTACAAATAATCCTCTATTTGCATTTTTCAGAATCCAAAACCTTTGCCATTGAACTTGTCAATCTTAACATTCCCTTCTTCCGGTGTCATTTTTCACAAAAAAATTTTTATGTGAATAATGTATGTGAATAGTAACGACGAATACTATTCCGTGTAAGAAAAAATATCTCAACCGTATAAGGTAGACAACAATCACTATTGGTGAATACTACTATCATTATTAATGATTAGTACTTCACTATTGTGAATAGTATTAGTAATGATGATCAATGGTGTCGCATTATTCTTGTGAATAGTACCTGTACCAATACCGTACTTTTGTACCAGAATTACACTATCTATGCTCTGATACCAATTGTTTTGAAGCGTGTCAGGCTAATATACCGAAAAAATATTGAAAAGAGAAAAGCAATAAATTGGACAAGACAAGACAAGACAAGACAAGATTTATGTGGTTCGACAATTTTTGCCTACTCCACGGCTACACAAAGAATAACTCTTTATTAATTGAAGAGAAAGAAGAAGTTGAGGAATGATTTACAATTGAGGAAGGGGATGCCTATTATAGGCAGAGCGTCTGCTGAAAGAAAATTTTCAGCGAATGTGAATACGAAGAGGACCACACCGCAAATTACGCGCATAATTTTTCTTTTACATTTGCAGCCGGCTAACTTTGACTTTTCCACATTTTCTTTCTACTCTTTTTCTCTTTGTCTTCTTTTACAGCTTTTGTTTTTCCACGTTTTCTTTCTTCTCCTTTTCTCTTTGTCTTCTTTTGCAGCTTTTGTCTTCTTTCTTTTATTTCTTTTACAGCTGGGTTTATTCCTTTCTGGGACAGCAACAACTACTACTGCTACTTATATACCCAGTCTTAAACAAGTTGAGGTCGATTATATGAATCTTCGGAAACTAGAGGGACAGCAACAACTACTACTGCTTCTACGCCTCAGTCTAAAATAAATTGGCCACCTCAGTCTTTCACTATTGATAAATTCTGACTTTAGTCTTTGTGATATCTGACTAAGCATATTTATCCTTCGATTAATTGGAATGTGTACTTTTAATCCCTTTGCTTATGAATATTCACAAATTTACTAGAATTATTTATCCTTTCATCGTTTAATTATTCATGTGTTATGTTAAATTTGTGTTGTTGTTAATATGATTCTAAACAGAGTCCAACTAGTATATATTTCTTACACATAGGGACCAAAAAAAATACGTTTTAATTAATTGAAGATTCAATGTGTTGAGTTATATATTACGAGGACAGAAATAAGAATTTACAAGTAACTGAGGGACTAAATTTATAGTCACACAAACTTCTAAGATTTGTTTCAAAGGACAAGCTTCTAAAGTGTTACATTTCTTTCGTGCATATAAATTGAAATGGAAAAAAATATACAAATATGCATTCATTATAGTTCTATATAACTAATATGTGAACTAAGCTACCCTTAAATAAAGGTATTTTAACATATTTATTGGTCGGCTAAAAAATAGCTGCTAGCCAACTATAAAAAGTATGCATTGATTATAAAAAATATATATTATATTTAAATTAAAAAAAATTATATTATATTTAAATATAAATATATATATATTTTTGACTATTATTTCGAGGGCAATTGTACCATAAATCCCAAATAAATTGTTAGCCAGTTTTCAGACTGGTAATTGAAAAATAACCTGTATTTGCAAAAGTCATTGACAAAATAACCACTATTTTGCTGCAACACGGAAAGTTTCAGCATAATATACTAGAGATTGGTGCACCTGTGTATGAACTTCAAGCATATTATGCTGAAGCTCCAGCACACAGAAAGTTCCAGCATAATATATTGGAGATTGGAGCACCTATATATAAACTTTCAGCATATTATATTGGACCAGTATATTATGCTGGAACTCCACTATATTATGCTGGAACTCCAGTATATTACTCTATCCGGTCCATAATAAGTGACCAATTTGCTTTTTTATTTTTTCCCAAAATAAGTGTCCATTTATATAATCAAGAAAAAATTCAATTTGTTTTTTCAAAATTACCCTTATGTATGTCTCCCTAAAAAGTCATTTACTCCTCACATTTGAGAAGAGAAGTAAGTGTTACTATAACTATGGTGCAACATTTAATGAAGGGTAGTTTAGTCACACTATTTTCATCTAGAATTTAGTATTTTCTTAATGGGTGTGGCCAAAGCAAATTGCTCACTTATTGTGGACCGGAGGGAATATACTGGAATTTCACATGTAAGAAATTCGAACTCCAATATATTATGCTGGAATATTTTTCGGATTTTGAATAGTATTTTCGTTTATCTTTACATAAAAAGTGACTAAATATCGATTACTTTTAAAATTATGACTATTTTTCAATTATCACTTGTAATTGTGACTATTTTTGAATTTCACCCCTTTTTCCCTACGCTTCTCAATACGAAACAAGAAAACTCTAGTAACAATAATTTGGACGTGAAATAAAGAAGTGGATGCCACGACGTCGTATAGTCTACTTATGTTATTTCCTGCTGATCTCTCTCTCTACTGAAGACTGAAACACTAAACCAAGAACTGCAGAATAAATATTTTTAGAGGAAAATGACGACTTCAAATTTGGAAGTTCCTTTGCAAGTTCCCACCTTTCATCATACCCCTTATTATTGGTATTCTCTCTCTCTTTTTTTTTGGGTGGGGGGGGGGGGGGATATGAGGGGGGGAGGTAGGGGTTGTGTATATATGCATTCTTGAAATACCGACATAGCTGGTGATTGCTGTTTCATGTTTGTTTATGAAATCTGATGCATAAAATGATGATACTATTTTGGTTTAAAGGCCTAATTTAAATGAATTTCACAGCTGACCAGTTTAAGAACCTGCCCTTTTTTTTTTCTTTTAAATCTTTTAGTACAAAAGTATATATGGAAATTTGGTCAAGATTCAAGAAAGCTGGTAGGACACCACTGTTATGAAAACCAAGTATTTTTGTGTAAATTTGTAAATGACTAAAGAACGAGCTGAAATTTTCTTTATAATGTGAATTAAACAGTTGAAGCCATAGTTTTTTTTTTTTTTTGGGTTTGGTCGGGTTTACCATCCGGTGTCCGATACCTGCATTGGAGCCTGACTATATCTGGATTTGCGTCGCGTAAGGTCCATTTAAGGGGAAACGCTCCCTAATGGGATTTTTTCCATACCAGGGCTCGAATCCGAGACCACTGTTTAGGGGTGAAGGGATCCTATGTATCCTACCACAATCCATGTTTGTAGTTGAAGCCATGGTAGAATGAGTAGAAAAATGGAATACTTATTCAATTATCTAAAAGAAGTAAATAAGAAAAGAACTTGTCAATCTTTTATTTGGTTGAAGAAATATAATGCACTTGTGCAAAATAAGCTGGAGGTATATCTTTGAGCTTATTTCGGAAGAAATTCGTCTCCCTTTCTGAAAATATCTGTTCATAATAAGAAGGGAACTTTTGAAACCCGTGCAATGTCTTTATTTAGAATTATTCAACCTAAGTACTTTTCTTCTTAAATTTGACATGTCCGTTTTTTAATTTCCATTCACTTTAAGCTTACTTACCGAGGATATAGAGGATTCATGTTACTGACCCCAACTAATTTAGAATAGAGGCACAGTTGATTGATTGATTAAGATTATCTAGCACTAATGAGAAGCATTTTCTTTCTGCTTTCTGTATTTACTTTTTATTACAGTGAGGAAAACGTCTACCTGCTATGCAAAAAGCTATGTGATGATGGGCTGGCAAATACCGATGGTTCTGATCTGTTTATTATTTTCATTTCCAATGAGAAGAAACAGGCAACTATTCTTTGCTCTTCCTCTGGTTACTCTTTACTTTCTTAAGAAGTTCATGAACTTCGCTGATACTTCATTGCAGTGAAAATGATACTCGTATAAGATGTGTTTTGCTACTAGTCAGGATAATTTATTCTGTTATACTAGCAAATAGTATATTGGATAATAAAAGTTGATGTTAACTGCAAGTCTTTGTTTGCAAATAGAATAGAGTCATAGACTAACCGTCTATAGCATTAGCTGAACTTGATCTTTTTGCTTACCATTTGACAATTCCTTGTTATGTATTAATCCGTACAATTTCTCTCTCTATCCCCAATTCCAACAAAGTAATAGGATGAAAGGAATTTCATGTATACACGTATCTGAAAATGCTCCTGGGCACTTAAATGAGTTAATGATAAATATGATTTAAACATTCTAGTACTTTGTTGCTTTCCAGCTTAGTTGTTTTAATAAAGGAGAGACGAGAATGGATGACAATTAAGTTGTTCCTATGTTATGGGCATGTTTAGTAATTTAATGACTTGCGTTCAGATTCCTCTGTGGCATCAGAAGGCTAGCCAGCGAGCAGAGGGAGTTATTCTGTGGGACTATCACGTCATCTGTGTACAGGTCAGATTAACCTACTTCTTTCTAGTATAAGCTTTTTAACTGTTTGGGATTTCATGTCCTTAAGAATATCTGGTTGCAATGTTAATGCAGAAAAAGGGAAATGGGAACTCTTCATCGCTAGTGTGGGATTTAGATTCAAGCCTTCCGATTCCATCTCCTCTTGGCTCCTATGTTGCTGAGAGCATTCGTCCATCAATTCAAATATTTTCAGAATTCAAAAGGTAATAACTTTTGTAGTCCCAAGACGAAATATGACTTAATTGAATACATCGATAAAGCTACATATCACTAGAATTTTTGTTCTTAAATGAGGAAGAACTATTATTTCATTCTCTTCCATAGGAGCTAGATATTTCATGTGCTCAAATTTAGAATTCTTAAACTTGTGATGCAAAAGTAGTTGTACTGCCTTTCTCTGTGTTATTCTCCGTTTCCGCCAGACGTCATCCGACCTTAAAATGTTTCTAACTTTCCTTCACACTACATGTTAAACATTTAAGCTCTACAGTGAATCTCACTTTTCTATTTATCTTTAAGAAATTAGCTTTATTTGTTGTCGATCATGTAATGGTGGTCTCATGAAATAAATAATGCTCCTTTACTGACCTTTCTCTGAAGAAACAATTCTTCTGGTGTTAAGCAATGTTGCCAATATCGTGCATGGATTTATAAGCTAACTGCAACCACATGAACCAACTTTGGAAATTTCAGGTTCTTTCGAGTCGTGCATACCCCTATATTTCTCCGACACTTTGCATCTGATAGAAGACATATGAAGGATTCTGCTGGAAATTGGATTGCTGAACCGCCATTGCACGAAGCTATTGTTGCTGAAGGTAAATACAGGAAATAAAAGTTTACAAAATTATGCTTTTGCCATTTGTTGGTAAATGTTGCCAGCGGGTAACTTCATTTTAATGAATGAAAGGACGTCTAGGTTAAATAATTGTTGCTCTCTTAAGTCGGCCACTTATTAAAGTTTCATAGCCTGCATGTTACTTAAGGCACCTAAACTCTGGTTATCTATGCATAAAAAACTCTCTTTAAATCAACTTACGTCTTACAGTAAAAAATAGTGGCATTTCTTTAATGCGTTTGCATTTATCAAAATACTCGGGCCATTTTGAAATTCTTAGAAGTTCAAGGAACTTTGGTGATTTCTCAAAACATACCTTTCAGTGAACCTAATCACGGATCACCTTTTGAATTATATAGTTGAAATCCTCAAAGTTTAGCTTGTCAGAGTGTACCTGAATATGTTCTGTATAAAGGTTCATTTAGGATCTATTGTTTCCTAAGTAGTTTACACATTGGAAACTTAAATAAACTTAAACATCATTATTTCTGGAAGAAGATTAAGGACAGCCCGGTGCACTAAGCTTCTTCTATGCGCGGGGTCCGGGGAAGGGCCGGACCACAAGGGTCTATTGTATGCAGTCTTACCCTACATTTCTGCAAGATGCTATTTCCACGGCTTGAACCTGTGACTTCCTGGTCACATGGCAACAATTTTACCAGTTGCGCCAAGGCTCCCTTCTGGAAGAAGATTCATGCAAAAAAAATTCAGAGCTATGATAGTTGAACCTTAATTGATGAAACAACTTTATCTTAATTGGTGTAAAATAAGTCGCTACGACTATGGTTGTTTACTGTTAAACTCGGTGGGCAAAGGTAGTCACTTCAAACACGGGAACTATTTCTTCTCCATTCTGATTTTAAGATTATTCTTATCTTTGGTAGATAAACATAACTTCGTTCCCTCGATATAATTTTTAACCCAGAAATTCTCAAATGCTTCCTCTAATTCGATTGTTCTCTTTTTCGCTTTGTTCATTATCTACGTAATAAACCTCAATAAGGAATTACCTTTTTGCTTGACAGTCAATTAGTTTGCTCCATATAATCTTGACTTGCTACACTCAACTAAATTTGGAGGTGGAAATATTGCATTAAAATTTGAAATACGTTACTGCATCCCATATCAAAATAACTAGCAGTTTGAACCAATACATTTGAGCTTCAAGTATTTTTTCATTGTTAAATAGGGAAAACACATTTACATTACCTATAAATCTGATTGGTAGCTCATGTGATTTAGGGTCATTTGGTGCATTTAGTGAGAAAATACGGTGACCTCTCGTTTATTTGAGTTATAGTTGCTAATTTTGTTCTGCATTTTGCTTGTACAGATGGAACCATACACAACCTGAACGAGTACATTACAGTCTCTCCAGACGATGTTGTGAAAAATGTCGGAGCTGATAATGTCAATGTTGTTTTCTCTGAAAAACTTGGCGTTGTAGTTGGTGAAAATGATTTGATGGAATTTTTCTCTTTGATTCCTAGTGGGGAGTTGAACAATGTACTAGCTGAAAGTTGAATTCATGCTCTAGGATGTTTACATTTCTAAAAAAACAGAAAAAGAAGTGTCTTGTGGAAATTTTGCAGATAGAGGCTGCTGTGGATTCCTCTCGAGCTGAGGGTCATTCGGAAGGTGTGCATACACATTACCTTCCCCAGATCCCACTTGTGGGATTCCACTGGGTTGTTGTTGTTAGGCTCGTGTAGACATCTATCTTACCAGATCAAAAAAAGAGCTGGTGTGGGTCAATTCTTGTTTTACCATGTTTTACCAAGTCTTTTTGGGGGTGATATTTTATTTTGTACAACTTGTGTAGACATTTTCTGGTGTTGGTGAACATGGTTGAAGGAGGTCATACCCTATTGTGCAGTGATTTCTTCTAAATACTACATTCACATGACTTATTAGAAATTTCTTAGCGACATTTCTTTTCTTTTATTAATGATGATGTCCGAGCCCGCTTGTTCGCGCATCAACTATTCCATTAGATATCTACTTTCTCCCAGCAACATAGATATCGGCTAACTCTGATCACTAAGGCTTAGACAAGCCGAAAGAAACCGCATGTTTGTAGTTTTAGCTATATTGAACCCCGGTCTCCAATGTTTGCACAAGTTTTTTTAGCTATATTTTTCACCACCTTCTCATTGGGTGTTCTAGAAACCTGGAATGCGACCAAAAAAAAAAAGGGAGTCTGAATATTCAAGAGAGACTTTAGCCTTAATCACTATAAATTCTAAGGATACTTTAATCTTTCAACCGTTCTTTCTTAAATTTCATGTCAACTCAAATTACACCATATAAAATGAACTCGAAAAACACCACATAAAATGAAATAGATGAAGTATACAATAGTAGAGTTTATAATCAATACTATTGTTACCACCAGCAATAAGTGGTTTATTTTCTTAAATCCTATGGGCCAAATTATGCTCCTATCAATTGTGGAAGAAACTCTGGGTAATTTCCTCTTCATTGTGAGATAAGTGGTAATAATTAATTCAGAAGTCTCTATCAATGCTGTATTATATTTCTTTTTCATCATGAGTTGGGACACTTGAACTAATAATTTCTTTTACATAATTATGGACACATTAACTACTAATTTTATCCTATTAATAAAATATAATTTTTTACACTAAAGTATAGTTTAACTTGTGATAGCAGATTATTTATTATTTTACCCGGGGATTTTAAGTTTAGTACATTAACAATATAAAGATCTTTTCACTATCATCATATTTTAAAATGTATATCATTTCTATCATGTTACTAATTAATGCTTATCATATCGATTTACATGTTATTATCTTATAGATGACCTAAATATATAAATATTTTTTAAATTATCTATGTTAAAACTTAACTCTTTACAGATTGATTACCAAGTAATATATATTTCTTAGCTTTATTACAAAAAGCATAGTTACTCGTTTGGCATATCTGCCTCAGAACACAATTCCAAAATATGAAATTGGACAAGTGTAATAATTTTATTTTTATTATTATACAAGTTCCAACTCCATTTATTTTGTCGTTTTTTTTTCTTTATTTAACAAAACTTCCTTGGTAGTTTACCTGGCAGAAAAGTAAGATACCTGGACCCATTGAGGTTCACACATAAAATATCATTTCCTTTTCACTCAGAGTCACAAACTCAAAAAATCAAAACCTTTACAAACAAAAGGAAATTAATAAATAACCCTCCAAAAAATTAAAAAAATTAAAAAAATCTTCCCTATATTCTCTCTCATCATAATCCACACTCCACACTCCCTGTTCTCTCTCTGCCCATTCCTTTATTTTAGGAAATCTAAACTGACCAATAGAAACTCAAGAATCATCATCAAACATGACCGCAATCAGATAGAAAATACAACAAAAAAGTACAAAATCTCATTTTCCTACCTCTTAAATTTACTTCCAACTTTTTGATACATACCCTTCTTGCCACGTGTCCCATTGTCTCACCACTAACTTAACAATAAAATAAAAACAGCTATATTTTCGCTCAAATTTCTTAACTTCCATAATAGCCACTACTCTTCACATAAAACTATAAACTTAGAACATTTCACTTGAAAAAAAAAAGTGAAGCAGAAATCTTTTCTCAGAACACATTCTATAGGAAGTTAATTAATTCAACTTCCACACTTCCAAGATTCTTGTTTCAAGTTTCTTTTAGTCTTTTTTCTTGGTTTTTTTTGAGTTTTTTTATACTCTTCTGTACATTTTGTGTAGAATCAAGAAACCAAAGAGTTAAAGTTTGAAACTTTTTTACAAGTTTGAAACAATGGCTTCTTTGGTTTCTTCACCATTTACATTACCAAATTCAAAAGTAGAACACTTGTCATCCATTTCTCAAAAGCATTACTTTCTTCACTCATTTCTTCCCAAGAAAACCAACCCCACTTACTCAAAATCACCAAAGAAATTCCAATGTAATGCTATTGGCAATGGTTTATTCACTCAAACAACTCAAGAAGTTAGGAGAATTGTGCCTGAAAATACTCAGGGACTTGCTACTGTGAAAATAGTCTATGTTGTATTAGAAGCTCAGTACCAATCATCACTTACTGCTGCTGTTCAAACACTGAACAAGAATGGTAAGTTTGCTTCTTTTGAGGTTGTGGGGTACTTGGTTGAGGAGCTTAGAGATCAGAGTACTTATAAAATGTTTTGTAAAGATCTTGAGGATGCAAATGTTTTTATTGGTTCATTGATTTTTGTGGAAGAATTGGCTTTGAAAGTGAAAACTGCAGTGGAGAAAGAAAGGGACAGACTTGATGCAGTTTTGGTGTTTCCATCAATGCCTGAGGTGATGAGGTTGAACAAGTTGGGATCTTTTAGTATGTCACAATTGGGGCAATCAAAAAGTCCATTTTTTGAGCTTTTTAAGAAGAAGAAATCTTCTTCTGCAGGTTTTTCTGATCAGATGTTGAAGCTTGTGAGGACATTGCCTAAGGTATTGAAGTACTTACCAAGTGATAAAGCTCAAGATGCTAGGTTGTACATACTAAGTTTGCAGTTTTGGCTTGGAGGTTCACCTGATAATTTGGTGAATTTCTTGAAAATGATATCTGGTTCTTATGTTCCTGCTCTTAAAGGGATGAAAATCGACTACTCCGATCCGGTTTTGTACTTGGATAATGGAATTTGGCACCCTTTGGCTCCTTGTATGTATGATGATGTGAAGGAGTATTTGAATTGGTATGCAACAAGAAGAGATACTAATGAGAAACTCAAGAGTTCAAATGCTCCTGTTGTTGGGCTGGTTTTGCAAAGGAGTCATATTGTTACTGGTGATGAGAGTCACTACGTGGCTGTGATCATGGAATTGGAGGCAAAAGGGGCTAAAGTTATCCCAATTTTCGCCGGTGGACTAGACTTTTCGGGGCCGGTTGAGAGATACTTCATTGATCCTATTACAAAGAAGCCTTTTGTGAATTCAGTAATATCACTTACTGGTTTTGCACTTGTTGGAGGGCCAGCAAGACAGGATCATCCAAGGGCTATTGAGGCTTTGATGAAGTTAGATGTGCCTTATATTGTGGCATTGCCTTTGGTTTTCCAAACAACAGAGGAATGGTTGAATAGTACTTTGGGGCTGCATCCTATTCAGGTGGCTCTACAAGTTGCTCTCCCTGAGCTGGATGGAGGCATGGAGCCCATCGTATTCGCCGGTCGCGATCCAAGAACAGGCAAGTATCTTTTTACTTCTTTGCTCTTTCCCTTAGCAATGTTGATTTCCATTTTTATTAGATATGAAATGCAAAAATATATTTAGTTTGATTAGTTTTCCTAACATTACTTGAAATATGCAGGGAAATCACATGCTCTTCACAAAAGAGTGGAGCAGCTTTGCACCAGGGCAATCAAATGGGGAGAGCTAAAGAGAAAAACAAAGGTATGTGTGCTGAAATATTGGTTCTTGCCCCCTAGTCTTGAAATATTGGTTCTATTCATATTGGTTTAGATTAAAAGATAAGATTTTGTTTAGTGGTTTTAAGGTAATGCATTGGCTAATAGAAATAATGAAACACCTCAAAAAGGTGCTTAGACCAAGGGTAAATTTCACAAATGGTCATATAACTTAGTTATTCCAATGACAATTGATTTGATATGAGAAAGTGTAATTAACATTGTCAATTGCTTGCAAATACTTGACAAGTAATCAACAATGTCAAGTTGTCTTAGAGCAACGGTCAAGTTGTCTTTGTGTCCGTGTGACATATAGGTCACGGGTTTGAGCCGTGGAATCAGCCATTGATGTTTGCACTAGGGTAGGCCCCTTTGCCCTTCCCCGGACCCTGCAGGATGCTTTGTGTACCGGGCTGCCCAATTACTCGCAAATCCTGATTAACATGACCCAATTTCTTTGAGTAAGTGGAAATTAATTTGGACCATTGATAGAACTCTTTTATCTTTCACTTAGAAATACTATTTGATGTACAGATGTTTAAGAGTTCCCTCCTTCTATTGTTTAAACTTTGATCACTTTCATTAGGACTTCAGCAAGTCTCATGGATTCTGAAATGACTGTTTTGATATTTTATCATGATCACAAGTTGCAAATTAGGATAAAATTTTCGTACGCTACCAGGAATTTTCCATTTTCCTGTTTAGGGTCAGAATTGTACAATTTCTCTGTCTTACAATGGTCATAGACCAAAGGGACAACAATATTGAAACTTGGAGACCTTTGGTTCCCTTTTCATAATTCTCCCTAAATGTGTATTATGATCTTTATTAGCTAGAATTAGAAGGGGAGCCTTGGTGTAACTGGTAAAGTTGCTGCCATGTGACAAGGAGGTCATGAGTTCGAACCGTGGAAACAGCCTCTTGTAGAAATGCAGGGTAAGGCTGCATATATTAGACCCTTGTGGTCCGGCTCTTCCCCGGACCCTGCGCCTAGCGGGAGCTTAGTGCACCGAGCTGCTCTTTTATTAGCTAGAATTATTTGGTGGATTTTTTAATCTAATTATGTTGCATTATAACAATTTCTGCTACTGATGCTCAATGTGTAACCTAACAATGTGCAGGCTGAGAAGAGGTTGGCAATCACTGTCTTCAGCTTTCCTCCAGACAAAGGCAATGTTGGAACTGCTGCATACTTGAATGTCTTTGCCTCCATATACTCTGTGCTCAAAGATCTCAAGAAAGACGGCTACAACGTTGAGGGGCTGCCTGAGACTTCTGCAGAACTGATTGAAGAAGTAATTCACGACAAAGAAGCTCAGTTCAGCAGCCCAAATCTTAACATAGCTTACAAGATGAGCGTTAGAGAATACCAGAAGCTAACCCCCTATGCTACTGCTCTTGAAGAGAACTGGGGGAAAGCACCTGGTAATTTGAACTCTGATGGAGAAAACCTCTTGGTATATGGTAAACAGTATGGTAATGTCTTTATCGGTGTTCAGCCCACATTTGGATACGAGGGTGACCCGATGAGACTTCTGTTCTCCAAATCAGCTAGCCCTCACCATGGTTTTGCTGCATACTATTCCTTTGTGGAGAAAATTTTCAAAGCTGATGCAGTTCTCCACTTTGGTACTCATGGTTCTCTTGAGTTCATGCCAGGTAAACAGGTGGGAATGAGCGATGCTTGTTTCCCTGATAGTCTCATTGGGAACATTCCCAATGTCTATTACTATGCAGCAAATAACCCATCTGAAGCAACTATTGCTAAACGAAGGAGTTATGCGAATACCATTAGCTACTTGACTCCTCCGGCTGAGAATGCTGGACTCTACAAGGGACTCAAGCAGCTCAGCGAGCTCATTTCCTCATACCAATCTTTGAAAGACTCAGGCCGTGGCCAACAGATTGTGAACTCTATCATCAGTACAGCTAGACAGTGTAATCTTGACAAGGATGTTGATCTTCCAGAAGAAGGGGAGGAAATCTCGGCCAAAGAGCGTGACCTTGTGGTAGGAAAAGTATACTCTAAGATTATGGAGATCGAGTCTCGTCTTCTTCCGTGTGGACTTCACATCATTGGTGAACCTCCAACAGCGATGGAAGCAGTTGCTACTCTTGTCAATATTGCTGCATTGGACCGTCCTGAAGAGGGCATTTCTGCCCTTCCATCTATATTGGCTGCAACGGTTGGTAGAAGCATTGAGGAGATTTACAGAGGAAATGACCAGGGCATCTTACGAGATGTGGAGCTGCTCCGTCAAATTACTGAGGCATCACGTGGAGCAATATCAGCATTTGTCGAACGTACGACAAACAACAAGGGTCAGGTTGTGAATGTCAATGACAAGCTAACCTCAATCCTTGGTTTTGGTATAAATGAACCATGGATCCAGTATTTGTCAAACACCCAATTTTACAGAGCTGATAGGGAAAAGCTCAGAGTCCTATTCCAGTTCTTGGGAGAGTGTCTGAAGCTAATTGTCGCTAACAACGAGGTGGGAAGCTTGAAACAGGCTCTAGAAGGGAAATATGTTGAACCAGGTCCAGGAGGAGATCCGATCAGAAACCCGAAAGTTTTGCCTACTGGGAAAAACATCCATGCTTTGGACCCACAAGCCATTCCCACAATAGCAGCAGTGCAGAGTGCCAAAATTGTTGTTGAAAGATTGTTGGAGAGGCAAAAGGCCGACAACGGTGGCAAGTACCCGGAGACTGTTGCTCTGGTTCTTTGGGGAACAGACAACATCAAGACCTATGGAGAGTCATTGGCACAGGTTATGTGGATGATTGGTGTTAGGCCAGTTACAGACTCGTTAGGACGGGTTAACCGGGTGGAACCTGTTAGTCTTGAAGAGCTTGGAAGGCCTAGAGTTGATGTTGTTGTCAACTGCTCTGGGGTGTTCAGAGATCTCTTCATCAATCAAGTATTGGCACTAGTGCAATATCAAGCTGTTCTATTTACAATATCTTCTGCTTGTTCTATTAGATTACAAACACAGATGATGATTATTGTTTTTTTGTTCCAACAGATGAATCTCCTTGACCGAGCAGTCAAGATGGTTGCAGAGCTCGACGAGCCAGAAGACCAAAACTACGTCAGGAAACATGCACTAGAACAAGCAAAAACACTCGGAGTTGATGTTCGTGAAGCTGCTACAAGGATCTTCTCAAATGCTTCAGGATCTTACTCCTCCAACATTAACCTTGCTGTTGAGAATTCAACATGGAACGATGAGAAGCAACTTCAAGACATGTACTTGAGCCGAAAGTCATTTGCATTTGACTCTGATGCTCCTGGTGTTGGCATGACTGAGAAGAGGAAAGTTTTTGAGATGGCTCTTAGCACGGCTGACGCCACATTCCAGAACCTTGACTCCTCAGAAATTTCACTCACAGACGTGAGTCACTACTTCGATTCAGACCCAACCAACCTTGTGCAAAACCTCAGGAAAGACGGGAAGAAGCCTAGTGCATACATTGCTGACACCACTACTGCTAATGCTCAGGTGAGTGTTATCGCTTGTTAGTTAACTTGGAAAGTGTTACTCATTCAGTTGACAGAAGCTCTTTTACTTTATGTCTAATGCCTCAATTTGTGATGATTCAGGTACGTACATTGTCCGAGACAGTGAGGCTTGATGCAAGAACAAAGTTGTTGAACCCAAAGTGGTATGAAGGCATGCTTTCAACTGGCTACGAGGGTGTTCGTGAGATTGAGAAACGATTAACTAACACAGTGGGGTGGAGTGCAACTTCAGGCCAAGTTGATAATTGGGTGTACGAAGAAGCCAACACAACCTTCATTCAAGACGAGGAGATGTTGAACAGGCTCATGAACACAAACCCAAATTCTTTCAGGAAGTTGCTTCAGACATTCTTGGAAGCCAACGGGCGTGGATACTGGGAAACTTCTGCAGAGAACATTGAGAAACTCAAGCAATTATACTCAGAAGTTGAAGACAAGATTGAGGGAATCGATCGATAAATGTATAGCAAAAAGAATGATCTCTGATTATTGCTCATCTGTTTCCTAACTGTTTCTGATGTGAATTCCTTTGACAGTCCCCAGTGTAATTTTGTTCATCTTTGGGGATGTCCTACTACTTCTATGATAAAATACTGCTTCCATTTATTTAAATTTGAGCTTGAAACTTGCAATTGTCTTCATCTTCTCAAAATGTTACTTCTACAGTAGGTATGGTATGACGGAAGTCATTTTTCAGGAAAATATTTGTTATGAGAAAATCATTTTCTGGTGATCGGTAACTAGAAATCATTTTTCAAGGAAAACATATCCATCAAAGAGGAGAATGGTCGGAAATCATTTTACTTACAATTATCTTGACTATTAAATTTCATATTATTTGTTCCAACTAACACTTAGACGTTATTATTAATAATTAGTACTCAAAAGATTCATCATAAAACTCTCGGTTGCTAATAATATTATAGCTCTTCAATATATATATTTTTCCGCAAAATATGTTCTACTCACCAACCAAACATGGAAAACATTTATCACGGAAATGACTTCTGTCTTACCAAAGCACACTCCAAATGTGTCAACTGTAGTCTTGGGACATTCATAGTTCAACTACTCGAACATCATCAACGACCCGGTGAAATCCCACTAGTGGGGTCTAGGGAGGGTAATGTGTACGCATACCTTACCCTTACCCCGAGGGGATAGAGAGGCTGTTTCCGAAAGACCCTGGGCTCAAGAACTGTTCGAACATCAAAATTTTAAAAAAAATATGAAAGCAAAATTAACTTTCTCATCTGTATACATGTAAAGGACTGAAGATGTACAAAGAATGTTCTGTGGAACTTTAGCATATTCAAAAGCAAAATGAAAATCAGAAGAAAGCTAGTAGCACAGTTTTCTCCTTTAATTCTCTTGCAACAAAATTTTTTGAGAGTTAAAATAGTAGTACAACAAAAATCTACAAGAGCACAAAACCTTCCTTTCACCCCATTCCCCCAACTAAAGAATGGTATAAAAGAATAGCAGAATTCAGCTGCACATAAACTTTACATGTTTTACATTTTCCCTGTGGGACCCTTCAGTATCTTTACTGAATCTATCATTACACTATACCATCTCCATTAACAGGGGATCACCTGCTGCCATAACTCTGATCAGCTTTATGAACTCTTGTTCACTTGACACTTTCCATGGGTGAATTGCAGGCGCTTCGGCTGAATAAAATGTCGTCAAATTACCCCGAGGCTTCTTCTTGTAAATCATTGAATTCAACACTGAATCAAAATTCTGTGGAGAATCCATAGCCATAAAAAACATTGGCACTGCAACCTTATGATGCATGTCTAGATTCCCCACTAGATTAACGAGATCGACAAAGTCGGATACAAAACGTCGAGGGACGTAGAATATCTCTGAACTGCAAAGCGTTAAGGTCTCGTCACCTTTCATCGACTCTTTGTAATTGACTTGCAAATGTGCTGGCATTGTCGCTACCACTTTCTTAACTACGTCTGCTTGCTTCACAAACCAGTCTGAATTTCCAGCAACTGAAACAGAGTGCCATGACTTGGATAACTGCATGAATAAGAAAAACATGAGACGACTATGAATAACAGCAAGGAAGTACAAGTAAAAACATAAGAAACGAAAGAGTGGAACAGTAAAATGCCTTCAATTAAACCATAAAAAGTAGGAATTGGCTGAATTTGTAACAAGTAACAAAAAATAGAAACTCCCACTAACAAGAAGTTGATACCAAAATTAAGGACTTCATATTTTGTACTTACCTTGTTTGTTATCCAGAGCTTAGACTTGTCAGCTTGAAGTAAGTTCCAGTAATTAAGGATAGTATCGTCTTGAAGAAATAGAAAGCCTTCTGCACTAGAGTATCTATCAAATAACTTTGGCGCATACCTGAAACAAAATTTGCCAACATTCTATTTAGTATTTAAATCATGAATATCGGAACTTTCATGTAGCCAAGATAAAAATTTAGACAAACACGATTAGAATAGCTTTCGAATAAAAAGAATAACTAGAAAGTCATGGTATTTTTGCATATGGCTATGGTAGGAGTATATTCCATTACTGCTAGCACTGATTTACTGGTTGGTATAACAAGAGTCACAGATTGCAACAAGTGTTGTACCAAAGTTCTATCCAACACTGAATTAGAATAGGAGTGAAGCAATTAGATGTTTAGAAAAAGCCTACACCGTTTCATTTAATGAGCTTATCAACAATCAAAGGGTGGAGTTATAAGTTTGAAGCAAATTCTCCCTCAAGCACCATTATAGCAGTAGGTCCGGTGTAGCACAAATATCCCCACTTTTTTTCCGAGAAAGGTAACTAATAAGTATTACCACATTTACAGCCAGGCTTGATGCCCTTTTCCTCTCCAACACTGCACCTGGTGTATCCAAAAATATAGATCACATATGTATGATCACTAGTCTGAAACTTCATTCTCAAACACCTCTTTTTCCCGTTCTCCTCAACTACTACTCTTCGCGCCAAACTATTTCAAATTGACTCACGTGATCAAGACTTCTTATGTTGTCTACGACCATCTCACCAAAATATGATCTTGAAGAATTTCGGCCACAGAAGCCTCCTGTTTGTACAGACCATTATATTGCAGTCGCCATATGCAATGCCAATCTCCTAACCCAACATATAGTGCAGCGGTCTTAGAACACAAAAATATTCTGCCCGCGAGTACGTTAATGGAGACGCATTAATATGCTAGATGTTACAAAATATTCCATGAATGATGAGCTGCATTTTATTGAACTATTTCACTTCAGTGTGAGTCGGATATTTTTATATTAAGGAAAAGTAGTTGATGAATTTCAAGCAGTTACAACTTAATAGTTTCAGGTCACACTCCAACATCATTTGCAGCAAATCCTCGAGTCAAACTCAACACTTTATGCTAGTAACAAGCTAAAAACTCTCCAGAAAAAAAGAAAGAAACTGGCAACCTTTATACCATCAAGTGCAGAAACAGCCAAATGTCCAACGTGAATCTATCATAAAATCACAAACATAAAGTATGCATTTGCATGGATATACTAATGCATCTTGCATATCTAGAAATGACCAACATCTCATTAAATTGAGCTGCTACTGAAATCACTAGTGCACCATGCATCGTCAGTGAGATTCAAGCAGATAAGGTTGAACACTTATACCCATGGATATAAACGTATAAGAAGGGCTGGATCAGAAGAAGAATGATCATCAAGCAACTAATAAAGAGCGAAGTTAGGAAGATGCTTTTGGGAATTTGGAGAGGAAGGGGGAGCGAGACTGAGTACAAGAGCTTGCAGGTTGAGGGTTGTGAGGTTTTGTCATTCTGCTTCCGTTTTCAGTTAGTGATCTTTCCCCACCTTGATCCTTATATTAAGAGGAGAGGAAAAAAAAGAAAAGAAGTTGAGTTCTCCTTCAAGTATGAGTTGAATGATTTCACTAATCAGGTGATATTTTGGTATCTTCGAGGTTGTGGTACTTTGAGTAGGAGAAAATGATTTGACTTCACCATACTATCCCATGACAGTTTTCTCATCATACTGTAAAAAGAGGAATTCCTACCCAATAAGTAAGACTTCCTCCTTACATCATTTTCAACTCATTTTCTTCTGTTTATAACGTTGATCTTTATGTTCTCTATTACTTGGTACTTTTCTGCTTCTATTAATCAACTAAGAATTCTTCTTCAGGGTTATAACTATAAAACAAAGTTTAAAAAAGAAGAAAAAGAAATTTCAGAAGATTTAGAGTGCATTGAGGAAGTGAATGGCTAATGGTGAGAAATGTCAAGGAAATGCTTCTTGGCTGGGAATTTTAGAGCAGAAGAAGGAGAAATAGAGCATAGGACATGGCCCCTCTGGCACTCATGTGGACCATTTACAAGAGGGAAACCAAAGGTCGTCGGAGAGGATCTAAAAATACTTCACAGACCAGCGATGGTTAGACCGGCCATGTTGTATAGGGCTGAATGTTGCCAGTTAAGAACTCACATATCCAGAAGATGAAAGTAGCAGAAATGAGGATGTTGAGATGGATGTGCAGGCACACTAGGATGGATAAGATTAGGAATGAAGATATTCGGGAGAAGGTGGGCGTGGCTCCCATAGATGACAAGATGCGAGAAGCGAGGCTCAGATGGTTCGGGCACGTACAGAGGAGAAGCCCAGATGCCCTGGTAAGGAGGTGCAAGCAGTTGGCGTTGGTGGGTACGAGGAGAGGTAGAGGGAGGCCTAAAAAGTACGGGGGAGAGGTGATCAGGCGGGATATGGCGAGACTTCAGATCTCCGAGGACATGACCCTTGAGGAAGCTGTGGAGGTCGAGCATTAAGGTTGTCGGTTAGGAGGTAGTTGAGCATATTTTTTCTACTTCGTACCAGTGTGAGGCTAGTCTGATAGGATTTTGTCTTAGACTGCTAGTGGTCAATGTTGTGTTCACACTACTCTTCCGTTTTCATAGTGTCGGGCCTTATTTATTGGTTATTGTATTTGTTTTTCATCTATTTACTGGTTCTTATGATGTTGTTATTATTTCTATGGTTTCTGTTGATGGTACTGAGATATTGTCTCTTTTCGTCTTCTTGAGCCGAGGGTTTATCGGAAACAGCCTCTCTACTCCCTCGGGGTAGAGGTAAGGTCTGGGTACACACTACCCTCCCTAGACTCCACTTGTGGGATTTTACTGGGTCGTTGTTGTTGTTGTATTCTTACCTTTTGTTATTTCTTGTAAATATTTGGAGCACTTATGAGATCTGATTAATAACATCATTAGTTCCTCTTTTACATATTTTGAGATTCTCTACCTTTTCTATACAGCTTGTATACAGGGTCCTGACTTTTCCTATTATATCAGTACAACCATTACTTAATTAGGAAGGCAGGTTCATCAATAATTCGTTCTCACTCTTGCCTGACAACTCTCAGTGAGCTTACTGATTTATCTATTGATCACCTCTACCAAAAGAATGGAAACAAATGTATACCAAATAATAGTTTCTGAGAAAGGTAAACATTCAACAGAAACCATAAACTTATTACCAAAAAAACTAAAAATTGAAAGAAAAAGGATATTGATGACTAACCTGTAAATATAATCCACATTTCCTTTTTCAACGGCAAGATCTACATTCTTCTGGTTGGACAATATGATAACCGTCTTAAATATCCTGCCGTAAAGCAATCTCCACTCCAAGGCAGTACGTTCAACAGGTCCACTACAAAAGATTACGAGCACAACATTGCCAAAATTCTTCCTCCACTTGATCAAATTGGCGATTTCATAATTCACTGTACCTATCTCTTCTACACCAAGATGCACAGATGGCAACTTCTGAGGTACAAATTCCTTCCTGTCGCCATGGCCTATACTTGCCCTTGGCCGATCCAACTCCAAAGACATTAGTCGCGGCTGCATGTACCCAACAGCAAGCAAATCTTGAAGCCATGCAGCAGTAAACTTGACATCTTGCTCTGTCCAAAAGCCTTCTTCGGCCATTGCATAGCTTAACTCCAAAATCTTTTCAAACAACCTGTGTTTACCTGATCTCCACGCTACCAAAAACTTGGTTAAACGGCCAACATTCACGTGTAGATCTTTCTCTTCTGAAAAAGGATATCCCTCGATTCTATCATACCGATGAATAGTGGGAGGATACACTACAACATATCCACCAATCTCCCATAATAGCCTCTGTGCCCAATATCCTCTTAAAACATCAGAAGCCATTGTACTAACAGAAACTGGCAGCATCAAACCCCAAAATGCAGATGAATGAAAAATCGTATTAAACGAATTAACTGGCACCATCATACCCTGGGGCAACGCCACTTTCGGTGCATGCTCATCGAATCTAATATCAAACGCTTCAATCCCTGACTTCCTAGTAAAATAAAACACCGAATCCACATCCGGTAAACCATTCGAGATCCCTTGCTGGATAAACTGCCTTCCACCAAAAATCTCAGTGTAAAACTCCTCATGTCCAATCTCACCCACATTTTCCAATGGCAAACCTCTAGGCCAAACGGAACGTTGCCCGAAATGGATATAAGGGTTCACCACAGTCCTATTAGGATTATCATGACTATACTGCAAAATCACCTCTTGCCTAGCACCCTCACCAATCAATTCAACATCAAAATGTTTGCCAATATCATCATCAATCACAACACCGCGATCATCGACATCCAAAATCTTTTTAGCACCATGTTGTATAGCAAACAAATAACCAACACTTTTTCTAACATAAGAATCATAAGGCAAGTAATCAACAACCCTATATCCTAACTTAGCTTGCATTTCCAAAGACAAGTAAATTGTACCTTTCAAAATCCAATCTTTAGGAGTTTTTGAATTCCCAATTGCAAGAACCTGCCACCCTTTTATCCTTACCAGCTTTTTAAGCTCTTCTGATGGATAATGTGAAACAGAAACCACAATCCATTTCTCAGATTTAAAATTTGCATAAGGTGTAGACTTATCTGAGATTCTTGGTATATCATTCCACTTAATTCTGGGAAATTCAGGTTTAATAGAGTGAGTTTGAGTTGACTGCAAACAAAGGAGTGTAGTGGTGTCACCAGCAGCGCTATGGAGGTAGAAAAAAATGGCAATTGTGGAGATTAAGAGTAAAAAGGTGAGAACTTTGTAAAGATTTTCAGAAACCCATGTGGAAAAATCAAGATTCTTGCCATTTGATGATACTGATAAGGGAATTGATGATCTTTCCCTTGTGGGTTTTGGTCCTTTTGGTGATTTAGGACCAGAACCCTCACGATCTTGGACTAACATTGAAATCCCACCACCTCAATTCACACACACACACACACACAGAGTAGACAAAAATGTGACTAAAGTTTGAATCTTTATATGAAAAAGTTCAAGTCTTGATTCTTAAATCTAGCATTTGACTCAAGTTTGAATCTTTAAGAGTATGTGAAATGTTACAAAGTGAGTGTTTTTGTGTTTGCCGACAGGGGATGGATTTGGGTTTGGGGGGTGTG